AATCATAATTACATTCTTTGTCAAAAAAAATGTCTTGTCAGTGTAAAGAAACCCCTATTGCTATCTCTATTTCAGCCAAATATGAGGGCTAAATGAATAAGTAAGGTCCCCTTAACCACTTGCTGGTTCCAAAAAAGCTCATACTGGTGTCATGTTACCACAGAACTACAAATTAAACCTAAAAAAAGCTAGTAAAGCTGTACTTGTGTGGAAAAAAATAAGAAATTATGCAATTTATTTATTTCATTGAAAATAATAGGATGTACAGGCAAATAAAATATGTCGCGTCTCAAATTCCAGTGGTTGCACATGTGTCAGACACTGCGAAAAGTTAAAGCGAGCATTTATAATTAAAAATGTATTGCAAGTTACATAAAAATAATGAAGTTCTACTTTCTAGGTAAATTTTTACTTTATTACCCACAGATTAGGCAAAATTTGCTGAATCAGCAATTTTCACTCCCAGGGGTGGAATTTAAGGGCTATTTTTATCATAGTTGCCCTTAATCAACTTTTTATTGATAAACTTACAAATTGCATGGGTAAAAAAAATCCTTCATTGATTTAGTGTAAACATGTATATCCCCCTTAAGGTGGCACGGTAGTATTTCCTGGCCCATAAGGGATAATGATAGCCTTTTTAGAATTTTCACCACTTTCTAACACTGCTAAAAATTCTACATTCATAGTTAACTGAAGTACTTTCATTTTACTATTCAGAAATGAATTTGAATATGTATCATGACCGTTTACTTTTTTTGCTATCTTTAAGAACCTAAGGCCACTAGTGCTTTTAGGTCTTTTATCGTGCAGTGAATACAAAATTAAAAAAAATTCTCAAAAATTCATTTTCATCTGTATGTAAAATTATTTCATATTTTTCTACACCTGATTCATCCCTCAGTTTGGGAAAGTATGTTCAGTTGATACTGTATTTTTTGTCCAATCATAATGTTCAGATACATTGACTTAAGTAGGGTACACAAAAGAGCAACCTAAATTCTGGAATGCAAATACTACCGTGCTACCTTAACCAAGACATTTCAAACTTGAAATCAGTCATGACACCTATGATGCATAGCCTTCTTACTATGTAACATATTACAATAAAGAATACTAGTCTGCACTTATTTCTTACCAAAAAAAAATGAAAGATTACACCCCTACCCAAGATGGCAGATTTTCACTTTTTTATCATCTTACCATATTTACTTAAGGAGTGAACAAAATCCAAATATATGATGTTTCAAATCAACACAGAAGTCAAACATGGTGATTCAGGAGGAATTATTGGATTGCCAACTCTATTTATAGTTAATCTGACTGAAAGAAACAGTTTAAGCACCAAATCATGAAAAATGATATTAAAGTCCATTCCACATTTTACAGCATGCCTTACATTACTTTAAGCATTTCCAGATTATGAAGGCAACACAACAAGATTCTTTAGATGGCAGTTAACTATTATTCTAAAATCTTTTTGACAATACATGTACTAGAATATATCTCTAAGTTGACTGTTTGTCTATTTCTCATGTATGCATTAAGTTAAATTATGTCCCCTTACATAATCATTTTACCTTTATTGTGCTTTTCATTGTCAGAAAATCAAAACAATTAATGAAATTTGCATGGAAAATGAATAAACTATTTAATCTTGCTGATAAACAATCATAATTACATTCTTTGTCAAAAAAAATGTCTTGTCAGTGTAAAGAAACCCCTATTGCTATCTCTATTTCAGCCAAATATGAGGGCTAAATGAATAAGTAAGGTCCCCTTAACCACTTGCTGGTTCCAAAAAAGCTCATACTGGTGTCATGTTACCACAGAACTACAAATTAAACCTAAAAAAAGCTAGTAAAGCTGTACTTGTGTGGAAAAAAATAAGAAATTATGCAATTTATTTATTTCATTGAAAATAATAGGATGTACAGGCAAATAAAATATGTCGCGTCTCAAATTCCAGTGGTTGCACATGTGTCAGACACTGCGAAAAGTTAAAGCGAGCATTTATAATTAAAAATGTATTGCAAGTTACATAAAAATAATGAAGTTCTACTTTCTAGGTAAATTTTTACTTTATTACCCACAGATTAGGCAAAATTTGCTGAATCAGCAATTTTCACTCCCAGGGGTGGAATTTAAGGGCTATTTTTATCATAGTTGCCCTTAATCAACTTTTTATTGATAAACTTACAAATTGCATGGGTAAAAAAAAATCCTTCATTGATTTAGTGTAAACATGTATATCCCCCTTAAGGTGGCACGGTAGTATTTCCTGGCCCATAAGGGATAATGATAGCCTTTTTAGAATTTTCACCACTTTCTAACACTGCTAAAAATTCTACATTCATAGTTAACTGAAGTACTTTCATTTTACTATTCAGAAATGAATTTGAATATGTATCATGACCGTTTACTTTTTTTGCTATCTTTAAGAACCTAAGGCCACTAGTGCTTTTAGGTCTTTTATCGTGCAGTGAATACAAAATTAAAAAAAATTCTCAAAAATTCATTTTCATCTGTATGTAAAATTATTTCATATTTTTCTACACCTGATTCATCCCTCAGTTTGGGAAAGTATGTTCAGTTGATACTGTATTTTTTGTCCAATCATAATGTTCAGATACATTGACTTAAGTAGGGTACACAAAAGAGCAACCTAAATTCTGGAATGCAAATACTACCGTGCTACCTAAAGCCGGGAAATGTAATACTACTTTTTTCCCTATAGATCGGAGTAAGATAAATCCGTCTTTGAGAAGATCCCGGAAATTCATATCCCCTACCAATATGATAAACTGTATCTGAATATCTAAAAAATACTGATATATACGTAGGCTTTTATACTTCCAGAGATACATTGAAATACGTACATAAGGTTATTAATGTGTAGAATTCACAAGCAAAGTGGTGAAAAATATGCATTTTGTTCACTGTAATGGATTTGTCGAAAATCCGTTCGTATAACTTTTTTTATACAATTCTGTAGATTGAAGCCGTCATAACGTTGCAATTTTCATGTCGTTTCGACCCTGTTGGCGATTCATATCGATTATTAATTCTACTGAAAGAAGAAATCCGGTGGCCCCCTAATATTTTCATATTATTAAAATGGAAGTATTTACCACAATAACATAATTTTTTTTATCAAATTGATGTGGACGAGTTTTCGAAAAATCGCAATTTAAAGTGAAAAAAAAATACATATTTGTCGCAACTTGTACGTAAATTAAATACATTTAGAGACTTATTTTACAATTTAATTGATTGTATCTGTGGAAGTATAAATGCTTCATATATGTACATAATTTTATGATATGCAGATGCAGTTCAACGAGTTATAAATGCATTCAAAATATCATCAAAATTCTAGATACCGCCACATTACGCGTACCTTTGCTAAATAATTCAAAATTTGGTGACTATGTTGAACGCATCTATCCCATCGAACTTGAGATAAAGGATACAAAAGACACAGTTAAGTCTGCCTCATATCTTGACTTACATCTAGAAATTGACAATGAGGGTCGGTATAAAACAAAGCTTTATGACAAAAGAGATGAGTTCAGCTTCCCAATTGTGAACTTTCCATTTCTATGTAGCAACATTCCAACAGCGCCTGCATACGGAGTATATATCTCCCAGTTGATACGATATTCGAGGGTCTGTATTTCCTATCATGATTTCCTTGATAGATGGTTGCTGCTCACAAGGAAGCTATTAAACCAATAGTTTCATGTGGTGAAGTTGAAATCATCCCTTCGTAAATTTTACGGACGCCATCAAGAGTTGGTTGACTGTTACGGAATATTTTTCACATATGATAGCGGATATGTTCCTGATGTCGTAACTACAATCCCGTCCCCTTTTCCCGAATGTGACCTACCAAATTAGATTTATTACCGGGTTTGTATTAACATGAGCAACACGACGGGTGCCACATGTGGAGCAAGATCTGCTTACCCTTCCGGAGCACCTGAGATCACCCCCCCCCCCCCCCCACCCCCCAACCCACCCGTTTTTGGTGGGGTTCGTGTTGCTCAGTCTTTATATTCTATGTTGTGTTTTGTGGACTTGTTTGTCTGATTGTCTTTTTCTTTTTTAGCCATGGCGTTGTCAGTTTATTTTCGACTTATGAGTTTGAATGTCCCTTTGGTATCTTTCGCCCCTCTTTGCAATAAGAGTAGTTACGGATACAAAATGATTGGATCCCTTTTTCGTGCTTGCAGATCTGGTTAAGTTAATGTTATGCTTAATGAAAGCTCGAAAATAAATCATTTTAAAAATCAAATCGGCGGAGCACAATGGCGTTCTTTGATAAAGATTTTGAACTTACATAAACATTTCTGGTCGTTCCATCTGTATGAAAGAGTAATTAAATGGGCATGAATTTGTAACAGAGCAAAAGATACTACCAAAGACTGACAGCCGTAAAGAGTTGGTTATTAAAGTTAACCTTTATTGTAGAAACCTAAACGCTATATACGCTCTATTGAAGAAAAACGTCACATAAGTATCTATATTTAATTTCATGCTTAATTTTGATGATTCTTCCTATTTAGCTTTAGGCGAGGATAATTGCTATGAATCAAAATATCAAAGAAATATAAATGTTATTTTGATATTTGTAAATAAGTGTTGTCTTTCATTTATTTGTTACCGTTTCCGCTGAGGAGTAATTTCTTAAATGATTTTAGAATCTTTCATTTAACTATTCAACTCCAATGATAACACTTTTAAAATACTATTTTTCATTTACTTTGTTAGAATTTGACATCTTTACTGTGTTATGATTCTTAAACCTTCAGTCTTTTTTCAAATTTTATCATTCATCTTTTCTTACCCACTTCATGCGTCACTGGCCTATGTTTAAGGAAAGTGTTACCATTTATTCCTATCGTGTCTCACAAAATGACGCTCTTAAATTTCCCTCATATTTTTTTTCCTTAAAAAGAGAATATAATTTTAAAAGTTTACAATCCATTACATTTCAGATAAAATGAACATCCTCGGGATTGCACTCATCTTTATTGTCAATATTCAGTATGCGTATAGCGGAACAATACAATGTACTGTAAACTGTAATAAAGCTAACTCCGGATCAAGTCCCGCTAAAAGCTTTCCTTCTGATAGTCTTTTGTCAGCTCCGATAATAGATGGCCCATCAAACATAGCAGAATCGAACAGATCTCCGGTAGGACCTCCTATAGATGCTGGGCCTAGATATAAGATAAGTAGCAAACCACCAAAGAGAGGTTTCGCTCCACTTCCTCCTCATATTCAAGCTTGTATTGATGGCAAAGGTGGAAAGAACTGTCATCGATATGCAAGAATAAACACGGACGCTAACAGGAGGAGATTCCTGATGAAAAATCGACCAAGTTCAAGTAAAACTAAATTCCGATTTATACAGAAACAGAAGAACAGATCCAAATCATCATCTAAACCAGGCCAAATACCTTCAAAGAAACTCAAAGCGAATGCAGAAATGTCAGTTTCAGATAGCGTAAATTCTCTTGTAAATTCATTAGTAAAAACATTAGATACGGGTACAGGCGACAAACTTTCAATTAAAAGCGGTAAACGTACCAAAAAAGAAGGTGAAAGTTCTAAAAGTGAAAGTAACATTTCATCAAGACAGTCCAGTTCGAGCACCGCTGTTGTGTCTTTCTCGCCGTCAAAATTGTCATCAAGCGGTAAGTCAAGTAAACATTCACAAGGAGAGCGATCGCGAAGCAGGTCGAACAAACGTAACATGTCAATGTCTTCAGGTATAAAAAGGGGAAGTGGTGGTTCTGCTTTAAAAATGATATCTGGAAATTTGCCGTCGGCATCACAGACAAAGGCTAGAATTGCTAGAAAAAGGTTGTCAAAAATAATATCTGGTTCTTCTGGGAGTGGATCGGCAACATCACAAACGCTATCTGGTTCTACAGGCGCTTCTTCTGTGTCTGGAATGACATCCGCTGCAGGAAGAGCTTCATCGTTGTCTGGAATGTCATCCGCTGCAGGAAGAGCTTCATCGTTGTCTGGAATGACATCCGCTGCAGGAAGAGCTTCATCTGTGTCTGGAATGACATCCGCTGGAGGAAGAGCTTCATCTGTGTCTGGATTGAAATCCGCTGCAGGAAGAGCTTCATCGGTGTCTGGAATGACATCCGCTGCAGGAAGAGCTCCATCTGTGTCTGGATTGACATCCGCTGCAGGAAGAGCTTCATCGGTGTCTGGAATGACATCCGCTGCAGGAAGAGCTTCATCGGTGTCGGGAAAGACATCCGCTGCAAGAAGAGCTTCATCTGTAACTGGAATGACATCCGCTGCAGGAAGAGCTTCATCCGTGTCTGGAATGACATCCGCTGCAGGAAGAGCTTCATCTGTATCTGGAATGACATCCGCTGCAGGAAGAGCTTCGTCTTTGTCTGGAATGACATCCGCTGCAGGAAGAGCTTCATCGGTGTCTGGAATGACATCCACTGTAAGAAGAGCTTCATCCGTGTCTGGAATGACATCCGCTGCAGGAAGAGCTTCATCGGTGTCTGGAATGACATCCGCTGCAAGAAGAGCTCCATCCGTGTCTGGAATGACATCCGCGGCAGGAAGTGCTTCATCGTTGTCTGGAATGAGATCCGCTTCAGGAAGAGCTTCATCCGTGTCTGGAATGACATCCGCTGGAGGAAGAGCTTCATCTGTGTCTGGATTGAAATCCGCTGCAGGAAGAGCTTCATCGGTATCTGGAATGACATCCGCTGCAGGAAGAGCTTCATCTGTGTCTGGATTGACATCCGCTGCAGGAAGAGCACAATCTGCAACATCCGATATACAAAAATATGTTGATATGCATAATGAAGATGGTTCTAAAGGAATGAATCAAGACGACTCAAAAGGATTCAATCAAGACAAAAATAAAATACAGAAGCTTGAATTCGAACAAAAACAAAACGAAGTATCAATGCAAGACACGCAAGATAAGCAGACAATACAGAAAATAGAAATTGAAATAAAACAGGTCGATGTTTCCAAACCAGACGAACAAAAATCAACTGGAAGGAATAAATTTAGAGAAGAAGATGGCTCTAAAGGACAAAACCAGGACGGTTCACAAGGGAAAAATCAGGACAGTTCACGAGGACAAAACCAGGACAGTTCCCAAGGAAAAAATCAGGATCAAGATAAAAGAAAAAGTTCATGGGTTATTATTGGACATACAAACACGGGAAGTTCATCACAAAATTTGGGTATGTCCCAAAGTTCAGCTACTGCATCACACCAACCCAAACAGCCTTCGGTGAGTTTGAATATGCATGCGGCTGCAAAAGGTGTCAATCCTAATATTAGAAATACAGCTATCAATCTTCAACTCAAAAACAAACAAACTATAGCCAACCAAATGAGATCATCTAGACCTTCGCAAAGCATCAGAAATGCCGCTGTTACACGTCAACTTAAAAACCAACAAACACTAGCCAACCAAATGAGATCACCCAGGCCTTTGAAAAGGGTGCCACAGCCTTCAAAACCAATAAACTCCAGGTCTATGCCAGTTCAAGGAATTGCCTCGTCATTGGCTCATACTACTTCTGGATCTACGAACATGGAAATACTAGCAGCACTTAATTCAGCAGCAAGGGTTCAGGCTATAAGGCCATCTAAACCGCTCATACAACGACCTATAGTCCCGGTAGTAGATACAAAACGACCACGACCCGCATTTCTAGATGATTTTTCCGGAACATCTTCAAAAGAATTGAAAATACTTAAGTCTGCTCTTCCATCAGATCCGCCAGGAAATGGTATACAAGGATGCTCTTGTGCTCAGGCAACTTCGCATACGTCCAAGCCACAAGTAAGTTTTTACATTGAATATGTTTTAAGAAGATGAAGGGTATAAGTCAATGATACAGCAATCTAACGACAACATATAACCAAAATAAAACATCTTGAGGTCAATGTACAACTGAGATCACCATAAGTTTTTTGGTGGGGTTCGTGTTGCTCAGTCTTCAGTTTTCTATGTTGTGTTTTGTGTACTTTTGTTTGTCTGTTTGACTTTTTTTATTTTAACCATGGCGTTGTCAGTTTATTTTCGACCTATGAGTTTGAATGTCCCTTTGGTATCTTTCGCCTCTCTTTTACAATTTATGGTAATAGACAGATGTCTATTTATTCCAAGTTCTAAATCGAAACGAGTCTAAAAATAAATGTAGCAGAACTTATCAAAGATCTACAATCAACACCAAGTTCTCCAAAAAAGAAAAGTCTTTAAAATAGGACAAATGGCAATTTCTGACGAGTTATAAACATGTGTACTTTAACAACAAAGTCTTTTGAATCAACGAAAATATTTCACTATTTCTTTGTAATAAATTAACTGTTGTTGCCGATGTAAATGTCGAAAACGGTTGTATTATTATTATTACGGCAATTGTCCATACTAATACTATAACTTAGAATTAGCCATAGTAAATTCACGGCATTGCGACCTTTTATGAAATTTTGTATGCATTTAGAGTTCGCTGATCTTCATCTAAGGATAAAAAAAAATATCTCTAGTATTCATAACTCCAACGTTACAATTAACTTAAATTTTCTGATATTGATCTTAGAATGTATAAAATGCACAAAAATTAAGCGTAAAGCCGTGACAGCGTCACGCTGCAAAATGGTAGTTTTTCATGTTTTTTTTAACACATCACTCAAACCTAAATGATTAGCAAGCAAAGCGCAGCAGGTGGTCCCATGTAATTTTCATATCATTAAAAAAACAAGGTTTAAAACAATAACAAATAATTTTTAAAAGAATGCTTAGGGCAGAATTTCGAAAAATTGGTATTCAAAGCGGAAACTTTTTTACGTGTCTTCTTTACCTTTATGGGTCTATTAAACATTTTAATTGAGTATAATATTTACATAGAATGGTTTCTCAAATTTGTGGATGAAGCTTAACGGGGTTTAAATGCATTCAAAATTATATATATTGATCCGAAATACCTCCAAATTATTTATACTTTGCCTTAAGATTTTTAAACGAATACATGTATGTTTTTTGTTTTTGTTTTTTATGGGTTTTTTTAATTGATAGAGCATTATATTTCCTAATATAAAGTTTCCATTACCATTTAAAGTTGACTTCTAGTTGTATAAAATTTTTAAAAAATGTGTGCAGGGTATTCGGTACTCATTTTTTTTTTTACATTATACAATCTTTTACATTCAAAAACACATAAACGACTAAGACATCAAGTAAATTATTATTCCGAATAATTTTTGCTCGTTAATTAATGTCTCGCATGTGCTAAGACTAATTTTCATCTAACAATATTAAATGCCTACATATAAGTAGAATAACAAGACTTTAAATTATTAAGCTAATTAATGCTTAATTTAAACCAGTGATTCACTCATTTATATTCATATATTCCATAGTCTATGTCAATTTACGACAACAAAAACGAATAATTACTCTAAAGTTATGTCATAGACTACAAGCTATTTAATAACAATAGAAAGTAGCTCCTTTCTTAATAATGTACAAATAAAGTACCAGAAGAGAGTTTAATTTATAAATAGATTAAGTACTAGTATTTAACATCATAAAAATAATGAATTTCTAATTATAAATATTAATGTTACTATGCTTAAATCTATATTTTAGTGAGGAAACTAATTCCTGTATAAAAGGGCATCTGGAAAATAAGTTCTGAACATGTTTACATATTTTATAAATGAATGTTTCTAAATTAGGCTTTTTATAATTAACATAAACATGAAAATCTTAACAAACAAAAATTAATAGATGGCAAAAAAAGTTAGACTTTAAAGGTTGATTTTGCGTTAATTGGCGTTTACTAGATAGAGTTATTGGATTTCACAACCTTATCTTTAGAGATCATATTTTAAGTCATACGATAGTCTTTTAAACTAGATCAGTGCTTAAGTTGGTATCAGAATTCAGTAGAATTAACAACATATTTGTGACAGAAACAAAGCCAATTCTGATTCAATATTGAATGAGAGAGAGAGAGAGAGAGAGAGAGAGAGAGAGAGAGATTTGGCATCACTTTCTATCATGGTACGATATTAAAACTGCTTTAAATACTTTTCTTTGCTATCTTATTTGAAATTATACTTGGGAATGTAATGAATAATACCAATGGCTTGTCTTTTATAAGATACAAATAATAATGCACACATATATACTTTAAAAGGTTTAATTTACATTTAGCTTGACATAAAAATGTAAATACTTTCTCTAAAGCTCCCGCGCGAAAATAATCTTACTACCAATGAAAGCTTTAAACAAGATATAGTTTCTTTAGGTAACTTTAGTTATTATGTGTCATACCAATAAAAGAAATGTGGGGTATATATCAATAAGTCACGTCAACAAAACAAAATCATCAATGACAGCATGCCAATTAATTATGTCAAATCTTTAGTTAGTTTATATTTACACTAATAAAAAGAATTTTCAGGTTGATTAACATATACTTCATATAGTGAACTAAAATGTAATTTTATGTTAAAAAATAATATTTCAATAAAATTCTCTTTATTCATAATTTTCCCTAAAAGTTCATGTTATTGAATTTTTCCATTAGAAAACCGACTATTTGCTACAAATAAATTCTCAACCGTTTTAGATTGAAACAAAATTATTCTTTTCAGCTGATACAGGCTACGGCAAAATTAGCAATTGTTGGGGATAGAAATGTTCTTATAGCAAAAATGCCTAGAGCAAAAGTTGTAGATGCAGACGGAAAGGGTGATTTTCACTTAGAATTTCCTAACTTAATAATACAGCCAACACTTACTGAAAAAATTGCTTCACCATCTGAATTATTCGGCATGAACATGAACACCGGAACAGGCTCGACTGACGACTCGGATATACTGGTTGTTGCAATGTTACCTAAAGGATCTAAACTGGGTTCAAAGATGTTTAAAGGTTCAAAGAAGGATTTAGATTTTAATACCCCATTTGATGCAGACATAGGTACCCAAGTTAGCGAATTAAATGTAAATAAACCATCAGTTACGAACTTAGGTATACCGCTTAGCGATTCAAATGTAAATAAACCATCAGCTACGAACTTAGGTATACAGCTTAGCGATTTAACTATAAATAAACCATCAGATGATACGAACATAGGATCAAAGCTTAGCGATTTACCTATAAATAAACCATCAGATGATACGAACATAGGATCAAAGCTTAACGATTTATCAATAAATAAACCATCAGATACAAACACAGGCGCAAAGGTTAGCGATTTACCTATAAATAAACCGTCCGATACAAACACAGGTGCAAAGGTTACCGTTGATACTAGTAAGGATGATGGGAAATTGAAAATTAAAGTTCAAGCTAAAAATGTAAAAGATTCGACGATATCTGCTTTAAAGGACAATTTATCAAAGATAAAATCAGACAAAATAAGTGTTGATACAAGCAAAGATGATGGGAAGCTTAAAATTAAGATCAAAGCCTATTTGAAAAAGACCGATGATAATCCCGATACCAATGTTGTGAAAACAGTTCAAAGCATTGGAAGAGACAAGGACAATTCAAACTCAAAATTAGCAAATTATAAAGAATTGAAAGCATTAGCTGGTCAAGTCAAATCTGAAAGAGACTCAAAATTGGCAAATTATGAAAAATCGAAAGCATTGGCTGGTCAAGTCAAATCTGAAAGAGACTCAAAATTGGCAAATTATAAAAAATTGAAAGCATTAGCTGGTCAAGTCAAATCTGTCACACCTAATGTCCTTTCAAAGAAGGGGTCTACAAATGTCATGTTAACGCCAGGAAAACCAGATGTTATTATGTCCGAGGCTAAGGTACTTCCTTCTGATCCTGTTACGCGGGTCAAGATTGAAAAGAGTAAAGATGACGGAAAGTTAAAATACAAAATAAAAACTCAAACAGGACAGGGTGATAACAAAGCAAAAACAGATATAAAACTGACAATAGATAAATACGGCAATATAACACCAGATATTCAGGTTGAAAAGCAGGTTGGGGATAAAACTATTTCAATGGAGAGATCATCTTTTGTTCATACTGGTAATCATGTTAATACGAACCAGATAACGGTAGCCGGGAAGCAAACTGATAAGTATAATAATCATGAAGAAGATGGTGATAATACACACACAATAAGAAAGGGAAAAGAACATGATTTATCGAGTGGTGCCGCGTCAGTGAGTATAGGTTCAGACTCATCGAAAACCACAAAGATAGCAGAAGCAGTGAAAGCACTCACAGCTTTACAGAAATTACAGGCAACAAATCAAGCTATAGCAGGAGGAAGTATAAGGTTAAAACCAACATTGCCTGATACAACATATAAACTACCTGTAAATGGTGGAAGCCTAAATACACTATCAGAAAAATTATCACAACAAATAAATCTAAAATTGAAAACTAACGATGTGGAAGTTTTATCTAGAAAGAGACTTCTCTCTGCAGTTTTAGGCAAACAACCATTGCTTACAAAAGTAGCTCCTTCAGCGCCTGTAGCAGCAACGGCTTCTCCTAACTTAGAAGGTTAGTAAATTTTCCTATCTGATCTGTTTATAGCGTTTTACCATTATTGAAAGTCAAATATGGATCCAAAAACAATTTGAATGTTAAACGTTCTGATAAATGTACAAGTATAACTCAAATAAATGCCCATTTCAAGAAAAGCAAATGATATTTAATACACCAGAGTCTCAACTTCCAAAAACCGTTTTAGTTATATTTAATTATGTTAAATTGCTTGTCTCAATATTTTAAAAACAAACATTTTTTTAATGATTTTCGAACTTGCAACTTCTCTATTTAAGCCTTGTGTTTGCTATACCTGGGCGCATTCATCGACTCCATTGGATACGCACCATTCCCTGGTAAATGTAATAAATTGGTACAATGTTTCTATCTTGGTGGAAAACTTCAAACTGTTGCCAGAGATTGTCCAGCTGGTATGTTCTGGGACCAGAAGCAACTGCTGTGTAGACCACCAGATGATGTTATTTGTCTTGAAGGTAAATATAATGTGTTATTTGTCTTGAAGGTAAATATGATGGTCTTCGTCATCTTTTGTCATTGGGAATACATATATATTTTTTTTTTTGCTCTCGGAAGAACAAATTTACACTGTCGATAGAAAAATAAAGTTCTAATATTATGCCACTCTCCGTTTGCTTTGTAAACAAAGCCATGTTTTAGTTCAAATAAAAGATGGGGACCACGTGCTTGAATTATAGCTTCAGTTGTATTTGAATGACGCTGTAGATCAAAATGGGCATTTTTGCAGGAGTTGCTGACTATGAAATTCAACGAAATTTGCTAAAAAAGGTGGATTTTTTTGTGTTTGTGTTTGTACACTTTAAATCGTGAAATTCCTGGTTATTTCAGAAAGATTTTGATTCATCAATCGAAAATGTCTGCCTTTTGAACGTGTCTAAAAATGTTTTAACTTTTCATTTAGGGTCGTAATTAGTTCGTGTCATGATCTATGCTGATATTAACATGGACATGCACTATATATGTTAAAATCAGTGTAAGCTTGACATGACAGAAGTATTTCTTTAATAACAAATGTCACATTATTGTCATAAATTACTCTGTCATACAAATAAATTACGTATTGATAGTACCCATTCTTAATATTTTATTGGCGGCACTTATACAAATAAAGAAACTTGTGAGCTTCTTTCTAGAAACAATAAAAAAGGTTAGGTCTCAATAATTCGTTTTGGAATGGTGATAACCTAGCGATATAAAATAAAGCGCAGGATTTCAATGAAAAATTATCATACTAAAGCGTTATTCTTCGGAGTGATTTGTTATATGTACATCTAGGCTATCCAAATTTATTTTCGCATTTTCAAAACACTTTAAACATATCCGTTATATGTAACTTTTTAAGGGAATGTAGGACGCTTTATCAAAGATCCATCGAAATCAATTTCTTCAAGAACGTCGGTTCTTCAATATTTTAGTTTTTTAATGCATCTGGGGGAGACCTTTGTTTACAAGCTTAATATATTGAACTTGCATAATTAAATGCGTTCAAATTCAAATAATAAAGACTGAAAGTATTAATGTTTTTCTGTCATTAAACGATGTTTTTTTCGTAGCATGTTTAATTCTAATGTGGGAGGTCATCGATTCAACCATTGGCCTCATTAAACTAAAGTCTTTAGAATTGGCATCTCCTCAGTACAATGTCCGAGTACAGTTACTTGTACCATGTTAGCAAGCACAAAAAAGGCAACACATAAAGCATATTATCGTCCTTAATATGCATGTAATACTTGCCGCTGAAAGTTTAGCATATATCAATATAAAAAATCAATGTTCGGCTACATAATGAAATAACAGGATAAATTTGGTATTCTTTTCAGACCAGTGTTTGATTCATGGGACTAGACATTACAGGAGAGATGGAGGATGTAATTGTTTCTACAAATGTATAGAAGGGATATCAGTACCTTCCTGTTGTCCTAAAGGTTATCGCTATGACGACGATAAAGAATGTGTCAGAGCATCAGGCAGGGATATGTGTGACGATGAGTGTGAAACTCCCAGCATTTTAACAAGACAGCTTGCTCAAACATGTAAATAGATTATCATTACTGGTATTATTATTATTTTTTTTGTAGGCGGAATGAGATATAAGATCTATAGTTTATGTTAAAATGTATGCTCATGTTTTATATTGTTGAGTTTTCTATGGTTAAGTCTTCGTACATGTTCATCTAAAATAGAACATCAGTTCTTTTTTTTATTCTATGAAATACGGTTTCGTTGAAAATCAAGTTGACGTCTTCACTTCTTAATATGCAGGTGTATTTTCGGGCATAAATTACTGTTTGCAAAAGGGGTTCATTCCGATGATGCTTCAAAATTTTGTCTTTAATTAAGTTTGCGACCTAAGTGTAAAACGAAAACAAACTGGTTGTTGAAATCCGAAAATATTCTTACAATCATAACTTTACATTTTCACTGTATTGTTGGCAGAATTTATTTTGGACAACCAAATTAAACAAATATAACGGAAGTATTTTCTATATAAAGTAACTGTCACTATCCAATGACCTTTGTGAAAGTAAGAGAGATGGAATAAACACAACAGTAAATACTTACGTTCCTATTTGCTCGTTTTCTTGTCTTTTTTCTTCCCATCTTACTTTCATTTAAGGATTCCCTTTGTATAATATCACAAAAACATTTCTTAAACAGCTTGCCCAAGTTTGCCAGATCCAATGAACAGATACGGTTACCTTGCTCCTCAGTATGGCGGACTCAGAATTCGAGCTTGTCCATCTGGTACTATTTACAGTGAAAATCAATGCAGGTGCAAATCAAACATGAATGGAAATGGAGGTTTACGAGGAAGCGCTAGAAAACAATTCAGACGTAAGTAGCAATACCAAAATGCAGACAATGTGTAAGTTACAATACCAATTTGCAGACAACGTGTAAGTAACAATACCAAAATTCAGACAACGTCTAAGTAACAATTCCAAAATGCAGACAATGTGTAAGTAACAATACTAAAATGCAGACAACGTGTAAGTAACAATACCAAAATACAGACAACGTGTAAGTAACAATATTAATATGCAGACAAAGAGTAAGTAACAATACCAAAATGCGGACAAGTGCAATGTGTAAGTAACAATAACAAAATGCAGATAAGTTCAACGTGTAAGTATCAATACCAAAATGCAGACAACTTGTAAGTAACCATGAAAAATAGCAGACAACGTGTAGGTAACAATACCAAAACGCAGACAACTTTTAAGTAACAATACTAAAATGCAAGCAACTTGTAAGCAACAATGACAAAATGCAGATAACGTCTAAGTAACAATACCAAAATGCAGACAATGTGTAAGTAACAATACCAAATTGCAGATAAGTTCCACGTGTAAGTAACAATATCAAAATGTAGACAAGGTGTAAGTAACAATACCAAAATGCAGACAATGTGTAAGTAACAATACTAAAATGCAGACAATGTGTAAGTAACAATACCAAAATGCAGGCAACGTGTAAGTAACAATACCAAAATGCAGACAATGTGTAAGTAACAATACCATATTGCAGATAAGTTCCACGTGCAAGTAACAATATCAAAAAGCAGACAAGGTGTAAGTACCAATACCAAAATGCAGACAATGTGTAAGTAACAATACTAAAATGCAGACAACGTGTAAGTAACATAACCAAAATACAGACAACGTGTAAGAAACAATTTTATAATGCAGACAACGAGTATGTAACAATACCAAAATGCAGACAACGTGTAAGTAACCATACCAAAACGCACACAATATGTAAGTAACAATACCAAAATGCAGATACGTTCAACGTGTAAGTATCAATATCAAAATGCAGACAACGTGTAAGTAACAATACCAAAACGCAGACAACTTGTAAGTAACAATACCAAAATACAAACAATGTGTAAGTAACAATATCAAAATGCAGACAACGTGTAGGTAACAATACTAAAAATGAAGACAACATGTAAGTAACAATACAAAAATGCAGATAACTTGTAAGTAACAATACCAAATTGCAGACAAGTTCAACGTCTAAGTATCAATATCAAAATGCAGACAATTTGCAAGTAATACTGACAAAATGCAGACAACGTGTAAGTAACAATACCAAAATGCAAGCAACTTGTAAGCAACAATGACAAAATGCAGACAACGTCTAAGTAACAATACCAAAATGCAGGCAACGTGTAGGTAACAATTCCAAAATGCAGACAACGTGTTAGTAACAATACCAAAATGCAAACAATGTGTTAGTAACAATACCAAAATGCAGACAATGTGTAAGTAACAATACCAAATTGCAGATAAGTTCAACGTGTAAGTAACAATATCAAAATGCAGACAACGTGTAAGTAACAATACCAAAATGCAGACAATGTGTAAGTAACAATACCAAAATACAAGCAAGTTCAACATGTACATAACAATATCGAAATCCAGACAAGATCAACGTGTAAGTAACAATACCAAAATACAGACAACATTTAAGTAACAATACCAAAATGCAGACAACGTGTTAGTAACAATTCCAAAATGCAGAAAACATGTAAGTAACAATACCAAAATGCAGAAAAGGTGTTTGGCGTCTGTCAAAATACAACTATAAAATATCAGGTCAATGTCAGAAATATAAAATTTCTTGTGTTTAACTTAAATGATAGAGAAGAGCGAAATTTACTGAGCCGTTTGATTGTTTCGCACCGAATACAAAAAGTGGACAAAATTTTAATACCGGTATCTATGAGGAGTATCTTTCTTGAAGTCTATAAATAGTAACAAAACTATACTCTCTTTACTTAAAGTATATTGTATATTTTCTTGTACATCTTCTTTCAGAGTGCAGTGCAGAATTTAAAATTAATTTTGATGACGGTTTTAAAGATATTTCGAAAGGTGGATTAGCATTTGATTACAGCCATATATCCCTACGTCGTGGTAAAGGTGTTTTCGTTGGAAATAGTAAATTGTATATTTGGGGCTTCCAAAGCCGATACCTCGGTAAAACATTTGCAATTAGAATGAAAGTCAAGATCAAACGTGGAGCTGGAAAATACAGACCAGAACCAATTATATCTAACTGTGGCCCCAATGGCGATTCCAGTGTTGAAATTGTTGTCCATCGAGGAAAAGTAATTTTCAAGGCTAAAACATCTGATAATCCAGAGGCTGTATTCATCACAGAAGATTATGATGTAAGTCCATTTCTATAAATCTATTTTAAGAATAACATTTATTTCAAAAATTAAGGTCGTAGAATCGTGACAGCATTTTATATATAAAATAAGGCCTGATTTCGTGCATTTAACGTGAATGAAAACGAGAAAAAAAGACAATAAGAAATGTGTATTAAGAACTCCAAAATCGAATACTTTAAAAGTTGCTCGAAGTTCGAGAACCCAAAACAAAAAGATATTTTTACTCAAACTATAATATCAATTAAAATGGCATTTACACTTTAATAAACATTAACTTATAATTTCCGTGTTTTTTCCTGATTAGTCAAAACTTAAATGATAAAATAGGTATCAGGCGTTTTTATGATAATATATTTGCTTACAGGATGATAAATGGACAGATTTAACATATTATTATGATGGAAATCATTTTGGTGGAAGTTGTAATGGTCGACCGTTCAGACAGAGAACTGGAGGTATATTTCATTCTACACATCGTTTGAATTTTATCTACAAAAAATATAACTCCATTTTCCTTGTCTGTGAATATGCAATGAACAGATACAGTTTAGACAAAAACGTACTTTTCACATACAGTTGTGCATAATAAAAAAGGAAAAGGGCATGCGAGATGAAAGGCATTGATATTAAAACTCTAATATCTTAAGTCACCTAAACTACACTTATAAAAGTTCTTTTATTGTCTTCAACGATAAATTACAGACTTTCACCTTCTTTAAAAAGTAGCAACATAGATTTCAACCATGGACAACCGTTTACAAAATCTTAATTTACGTTATAGCTTCAATCCTCGACAGCATTTCACAAAGTCACAATTTTTAATAATACGAAAAGTTTTAACAATCGTCTGCACAATTGCAAGTTATACGGAAACGACATAATCTACAATCATGGACAACGGCCAAAAAAAATGCAAGTTCCAATGATACCGTATTTAACCCAAGGACAACCATTTGATTTATAAAGACGTATTAGAATAAGGAAAACACTTTTCAGATGGACAGACACACAGTTCCAACATGTAGTGGACCATTCTGTTAATGATTTACGAATGGAATTCTCTATCAACACTGACTTTAAAACAATCTTCTTTTTCGATGTCTTAAAACCACCTTACTGGCTTGGTGTTGTCAGTTTCGGTACGAAATATTACTTTCATTTTGTACGTATCATCATTATCTTGAACTTCCATATTCTGCCAATGTGTACCATTATAATGTTCAGCATCATATTGATAGTAAAAGTATCCCATTTACTTGTATAATAATAATAACTTCTTTTCTTGTGTGTTAAAATGTAATAAGTGACAATAACCAATTGTTTTATTTATATAGGTAATTTAGAAATCCGTGATAACCCAATGACCATAGGTTTGTGTACTGGACAAAATGGTTTCCATGGAGAAATAGACGAGGTAAATATAAGTCATTTGAGACAAAAAAAGACAATGAGGATATACATGAGATAAAATTCGCAAAAATCCATGTGACCAAATTCTCCAAGATATGCTGATACAGTTGTCATTTAATGAATTGGTTAATGAAACAAAAACGACATCGACGACCATATGAATCTTCTATATAAATCAGACGGAAATTTATGTATCAACAATATTTAAATTTTTAATGAAACGATATAGATGGTTTTGGAAAATCCATTTTTTAAGACAATTGTAACAATGTTTCTCGTCGACAAAACTTTTAAGAAATTTACATATCATTATACAAACTCAATGGTGCTCTTATATTTTTCAGTTGTATTGAAATCAGTGACTTATATGTGTTTTCATTTTTTGTTTCAGTTGGAAATTTATACAGCCTGCATACCAAAGGATATGTAGATATGTAGAGAAAGGACAAATGTATCAATATTACACTGCTTTGTTTGATTTCTTTACCTTTTCTTTATCTTTTTATAATTTGTAAATAAAATGCACAAAAAAACACAAAAAGAAATTAAATTTCAAACATATATTACTGTTAAAAGTAAGACTAATAATAAAAAATAATAAAAGCTACAAAATAAAACTTGTGTTGAGTAGAATTTAACTTCTTCATTTTAGATACCACAACTCTGAGAATATGATATATATAAGCGTGTGTAAATATGTATTACATTATTGTATATAGCAGCAACGTACAGAACGGAACCAAAAGTTGACATGCAAATAAAGCATTAAAATCGATGACGTCATCAGTTACAAAACATGCTTTTTCTCGCTGCATTGAAGACCCATTGGTGGCTTTCGACTGTTGTCTGCTCTATGGTCGGGTTGTTATCTGTTTGACACATTCCCCATTTCCATTCTCAATTTTATTAGAACAATTTTTCAAGCTTTGATAAACAATAAAAGGGTTAGTGCATGAATATCTGTTAATAGTATATGCATCGTAAAATATGTATTGCATTCGCAAGTTTGTGCAATATAAGCATCTACTCGGGACAATATTCACCAATATTCATGCAATAACCCTATTTTATTAAATTTTTCCAATAGTGTGTCATAAAATAAGTACCAACTACCAAGACCATAGGTGGTAAAAAGAGAGACAATACTATGACGAGAAGATGATAATGAATGGCTAATTAACGTCCAGCGGCAAATTAAATGCATAATCAGGACGAGAACATCTCAATGCAATATGAATATTAACCCTGCTTTGTATTAGACCGACACGCTGAGTCGAATTTTTAACATGCTAGTTCACAGTCCGCAAGAAGACTTGTCATCCTACATGGACACATTGTTCGGACTCCGAGCCGATCAGTCATAAGCTCTTAATTACTCCTTAATGTTGCCTACCCAGTGGAGTGGAATACAAATGTTAAAGTCTAGGAAATTTTATGACGGATGTTTACTCTGTCGAAGAACTTATCTTTACTTGGTTTATCATGTTATTACGCAAGAATGCGAGTAGTGTGACCCGATTTTTGAAGAAAAAACATTATTAAATCATTTATTTATGGGGAGAGTCTGTTAGCATTTTATATGAGCTATCCTCTCATATTTTGTTTCAAAACTCTTTCATCAAGTTTTTCTTTCAAGTCGCACAATAGTGCTTTTTCCTTATGTAATACATACAAAACATGGGAGTTTGACTTAATCTGTAGCTTGAAAATAAGCTCAGTCACCTATACATTTATATATTTTTAAGAATAGCTAGATGAAAACTATATTTTCATTGTGACCCAAATGACCTTTCATACCTTTTACGGGTTCATACCTATACTGCATAGCCATACTATTTCAGGGTATAAAATATACATACAATGAAAAATAACGGACTCTCTTTTATAGTTACGAATCATTGCTTCAAGAACCTTTTTTAACGATAACAGGCTCGGGCAATCTACGTCATAACATTTACCCAATACGTGCTTTAGCGTTCACGTCCTTAAGGGCATACGATACAGTTTCGATCCCACGGTGATTTTTCTTTAAAAATTTGCATAAAAGCTCTTTTTCACCTTGTCAATTAAGATATGTAATAAAAAATATACCTTCATTTGCTAAATTTAGAGATATATTGGGTCGAAATTTTAGACATTTACCTAAAACTACAGTTTCTTAGACATTGCTATCCTTTGGATAGACATATTAAACTTTTCTGTTTCAAAAGATAAACGCATACGGATTTTTGTAAAACGATTTGGAATATCTTCTTTACAAAAGTATTCTCTTAATTTGTGTAACAATTCTTTGGAAATAATTCATTTTTATTAAATTGTCAAGATTATAGAAAAAAACGGCATTTTTTGCTGTATATTTATGTAATTTAAAATAAATTCATCGGTGATTTCTTCATAAAAATTGGAATAAATAATTTTCCTACAATATCAAGTCAAATGTCATTTTAAAAAAGACGGGTCCATGTACTCGTTTTCAAGCTAATGAAAATCACTCAAAAAATGCATCTTTTCCCGATATGTCGCAGCTCGACGTCGCGAAAAATAACATATTACGTTAGCAACATCATAACCTCCCCTGTAACTGTATCGTATGCCCTTAATAGACTGGATAGGACTTCGTATAATTTCATTCCGTATAACCGTAGGGCTTCAACAATGTAAAAATTGTAACCAGTTACAATTTTGGTAACAGCGAATGAAATTTTCGGACCAAAGGCTTTTCAAACCAGAATATGTCATTTTGATATTTGCTAAAAATTGAAATGAAACAAAAATGATTATATAATCTCCTAAACATCCCCAAAATCAAATGGTCTTCTAAGCAGAAATAAGATTTCCTTTTAAGACCAATAACGATTTGAAGATCTAAAGTTGTATCAATATTATTGATTACGATTTCTCTTCCTTTTATTATTATTACGCTTAAAAGTAATAAAAATCATTATAACAGGACAATAATTCAATTAATGAATATTCTGACAATTTTGATAAATTTACAACTTGACTTTCCAAGCATTTTTCCCCTGGTTTTTTTTAAAAGAAATTAGACATTGTTTGCATTTACCCTTTTGAATTAATTCTATCCATGGCGGCCATTTTGGTTGATAGAACGAAATGTAATGCAAATAATTCATACACCTTGGGAACAATCATGTCAAGTTTGATTTAACTGATTCAACAGAATGTGTGTAGAAGATCTCCGAGAAAAATTACGACGGATGCCATGTGATCATGATAAAAGCTTATTTTACCAATAAAGAAATTTTTTAAATGTATATGTTGAAAATGCGTCAAACGGTGATGCATTAAAGAATATTTGACCTTTCATTGAATTTTTAACTTTCTAATTTTATACCACATACTTAAAACCTTCTATATTTATACCACATGTACATTTGTACTTAACACTTCTATGTTTGTCTTACCGTGTCTTAAGTGTGACAAACAGTGCAAACAATGAAAACAACTACACAAATGTATATCAAAATCAAGTACCCAACCACCTGTTGTCGTTTGTGTGTTGTAATATTTTTTGGTAGGGCCGGTGCTGATACCGTATTTAATTCATCATATACTTAGAGTTAATAACTTTTAATTTTTACAGTATGATATTAGTATCAGAATTATGAGCAAAATACCATTTTCGCTGAAATGTTTGTCGATGTTCTGAATTTTAAATTGATTGGTATTTAACGTTCAGTGGCAAATATTTCTTATATGATTTGTATATCTAAAAATACTTTTATACTGTCGTTTAATTTTAATTTCTGTCCTTAGTTTACACTTCGATAAAACATGTTGCAGCAGCTACTTGTGTAACCGATGTAAACACTTAGACTGGTTCCTTTCTAAGGTTCTGATTATTTCGATTCAATAAAAAAACAAATAATGATGTTTCAGTCTCTCGAATGTTACTTTTAAAAAGCATAGGGCATTAGCTACGAAGTTGACAAAAAAATCATATTTCAAATATTTATGAAAGCGGAATTGTGAAATAGCATTTCGCTATCAGCAGTTAGTTTTGGTTATATTCGATGATGTATTATTGGCTTGCAAGTCCATATTTCAACTCATTTGATTCCATATTCATGCGAACTTCAATTTAACCCTCAACTAGGGATTGGCTATGCATGGAGGAAGCATGTTTAGTTATTAAGACAAAAAGGGGAAAATGTCAACATTGAAAAGTGAAACAAGGCAGCCACCAGGAAGATCCCTCAAACACTTATAAAAGCGGAACTGTGAAATAATATTTCGCTATTTAGCTGTCCATTTTGGTTAAATTTTGTCAAAAATAAGCTAAAAAAATCGATGATGTATCATTTATTTGGCTTGCAAGTCCATAATACAACTTGTTTGAATCCATATTCATGCAAACTTTAATTTAACCCTTAACTAGGGATGGGCTACACATTGGCTAAGGATGTTACGTTATTAAAAAGAAAAAAAAGGAAAGAATGTCAGCATTGAAAAGTGAAAAAAGGCAGGCACCGCGAAGATCCCTTTCGTTGACTGATTCTGCTCATAACAATCATTCAAATACAGGTAATACATAATTTTTTAATCTATGATAAGCTAAGAAATCAGAGAGGCCTAAAACATCGTCATTATACGATTGCACGTGCTTGCCTATGTATTTATATTTATATTGATGTGTACATCAGGTCATGTGACCTACGGCATTCTTAGATCATTTCTGTGGTTGATTAGATGGCATCTATTCTAAAATACACACGAAATGTTGATACATTATAACGAGTCCATGCATTGTAAATTGCTTCTTTAGAACTTTCTGTAATTTGGATATACGTGTTAGTATGTTATACGGTAAATCAAATATGAGATTTTTGAGTCGAATCGGTGAACATGAATTTTACAACTAATTTTTTGTTTGTTTGATATTTTGTTAGGCTACCAAATTAAAACTTTCTACCAAATAAAAACTTTTAAGTATTTCAATGACGATAAATGGTCACCCTTCATGTATGTTTCGGGGTCCATTTTAATTTACTGTGGTTTGGCATTTTCCTATTGTTGAACAAACGACCTTTAAATCTTCATTGAGACATAATTTGTCTAATATTTCATATCAGTCAAGCAAAACGTATAATAGATTTATAAATAATTGTGTCATTCGCTTCCATTTAAAGTATGAAGTTTAAACAAAATGTTTACCCTTTGCTTCAATATAAGTGATCATGACATAAATATAAGTTTGTAATGACCACGGTTTAACAAGGTTTAGAAAATATTGACCAATCTATGTAACATTTAAATGTCAGTATTTTGTTCTTTCCAAACCCCAAAGGTTGACTAGAGTATAGAAATACAATCATCTCTGAACTTCTCCCATCCGGCAGTAAAATCCATGCTGGAGAAGCACGTCCATTTGGTTGTGTGGGATGTATACTTACGCAGTCGGTATTGAGACTTTAAATCCAATGCATCGAATGAATGTGTAAAGCAACAGTCTCTGTGAGTTAAGGAACCCCTGCAACAACTATATGGGGGTTCCTTAGGTAGCATGTGGCAAGGCAAAATATATACCATTATACAACATATCCTCATTTTTAAATGGCAGTCGTAATTCCCACCCTTCCACTGGTAGACCCACCTTGCAGCACCTACTTATTGGATTTATTGTTGTACGTTATACCACTGTCAAAGGTTAAGGAAGGATTGGGACATGTTCAACCCATCCACATTCTATATGTGCCTGTCCCAAGTCAGGTTCGTGTTATTCAGTGGTTGTCAGTCGTGTTGTATATCATCTTTGTTTTTCGTTTATTGTTTTGTACATTATTCAGTTCGTTAATTATCTCGTTTGAATTGTTTTTTTTTCATTTTGGGGCCTTTTAATGCTTGATATGCGGTATCAGTTTGCTCATTGTTAAAGGCTGTACGGTGACCTTTAGCTGATAATCACAACGTCATTTGTCTCTTGTGGAGAGTTTTCTCATTGGCAATCATACCACATCTTCATAATTCTATAATATTCAATCAATCGTTCTGCTCAAAGCTAGGGTTTTTTAGCGTATGTGTTTGTATATGTGTAATTTGTGTTTTATCCTCTGGATTTCGATTGTCGATCGTTCCATCTTTTTTCAACATAAAGATTCTTGATCTTCTACCTTCAGTTGTTATTCGTGATAGAGCGCAATTCCAAAGCCACACGTGAATATCTTAATAAAATGGGGTTTTTTTTGTATCGTATAATATTGGCGAAGGTCTCGAAAAAATAATAGATTTTTGCTATGCAATCATTAAGTTTAAGTTTTTCATCAAATCAGAAAATGTAAATTTACTTGTTTTATTTAGTCTCTACTTAAACGTTAAAAATCTTTTTCTTTTTCAAAACAATTTTTGTTTGCAAATAAAAATGTTCTGGCAATACATTCAATTTTACAGAAAAATATTCATTTTATAATCTAGTGAAAAGTAGTGATTTCAAAGACGGTACTGTGTGGATGTTGTGCAATGTTATAGCATAGCGAGGCAGATGTTTGTTTAGTTTTGATGCATGTGATATGTTCTTTTTGCAGGGGTAATAAATCATAACGACCTAAGTTAACATTATAGTGTTTTGCGATGAGTTCATTGTTTGTGAGAAGTACACCAGTCACGTGGCTTTAGTTCAAATCATCATAAGTTGTTCTGTGGAATTGTAATTATATGTTATGTATAAAGAACTGGACTTGAATAATTATATGTTATGTATAAAGAACTGGACTTGAATATATTGAATTGGAACAAAATCATTCGATTGTTTAAATGATCATTATCAATACGAAAGAATAAATTTCACATTTTTTTAATATCTTCGATAAATAGTATAACAAATAATTCAGTAAGAGTATTTCTTTAAGCACAAAAACAATATTGTCGTAAACTTGTATAAGTAAAATCTTGTTCTGATACACATCTCGATTGATTTCCATAAGAGTTAAGTCTGTCTATATTCCCTATTAACTTAGCCTCATTGGTATGACTGTATTCAACACTCGCTTCAAAAATACCATATCCAGGAAATGTCTTAAAAACAACAACATAACGGACTGATGAAATTTGATTTGTATTTGAGTTTTGTGGAATGCGCTGAATTTTTGCAGAAACTACCTCTATTAAACCCAAAGTTTTACACGAGAAAGGGCTCTTTGATATCATTTCGTTGATTTTTGAAACAACGAACATCGCTGATTGCTGTACAACTTTATCGTCTGCATTTGTTGGTTGGTAAGAATAACACGGACAGTAATTTTCAACAATCGATGCATCGTAGCAACTTCTTCTACTTGGTATTCGACGGAACAAACTTATTCCTCTAGGGAGAATACAATTATCAGTGAAGTCTATCTTCTCTTTAAAATTTTGTGTAAAAATATCTAGAAGTGTTTCATGTAAATCGAACGGCGTTGTAAGTTGAGCGGCATTATACTTAAGGTTTCGGTGAATATGAGGATATCTAGATTTTAAATGAGGTGGCAAGTATAAAGATAGCAGAGGAAGATTTTTTGTCATTCTTCCAATTTCATGTTCAGTTAAAGTTCCATAACGTGATCCGTGGTCACTAAATAAAACAAAAGCTGTATTTGTAAGCTTTCCCGTCTCATGCATCCATTTTAGTAAACTGTGTGCGTCATCATCTCCCAAGGATAAGTATTCGGGATGATGATGCGCAAGCTCAGTGACCCACATAAACACATACTTTCGTTTGTTTCTGTATTTTTCAATGCATTGTTTTCCATAATCTAGTACAATATTGTGTTTAAAATCGTTCCCAAAACAAAGTTTTTCGTCTTGCGTTTCGAATGTGTTGTTGTTATTAAATGTTTGTTGAAACATTTTAAATTCAGATTGTTTACTGGCCACCACTATGCTTCGGAGATAATGCGTGTAATTCGGGTATTTCACGAGATGAGGTGGCAGGAATGGTGCCCAATCTTCCGAGTAGCAGTCGATGTACTTCCGCTTTAGTATTTCCTTGTACAGAGAAGGATAACCGGAAGTAGACAAAACAGACTCTACAAGAGTCTTTCCCGTTAATGCAGCCACAATATTTGGCAGAGTATTGTCGCCAATTCTTGTATAGCCTTTCAGAGGGTAAGCTTCAAGTGTATTTTCAAAAAAGTCCAGTGTTTTTGGTAGTTGTTTTTCAGCTAAAAACCTAGATGTAGAGTCAATACCAAGTATCACAATATTTAATTGGTCTTGTGTGTCGGGCAATAACACTCTTTTGTTGATTTCTGTATTAACATTATAATGAAAATTAGCATAAACAGTTTTTCTGTTTAATGTCTTACAAACGACATATACAAAATCGTTTGGAACGTAAGTAGGTTTTATTAAAATTGTTTTATCCACAAGTTTACTTCCGTGAAATCCGTCCATTATAACTATAGCATATTCACAAGTAAGTTGACTTTGATTAAATCCTGCAGCATATATAGCACTGTGATTTAGATTCAAGTATCCTGTATTGTCAAAATATACAAATGAATTCCACACGTTACATTTAACTTCTTTTTCTAGTTTTAAAGTTTCCATCACTGATGAAGAAAATGGAACCTTTTGGAATTGGCACGGTTCCCTTAAATCCTTTCTTCCTCTTGCTCCAATATAATACCATATAACACACGAAGCCAAGAAAATGAATAACAATTTTTTTACCGAACATTCTGTGTCAAAGTAACGTTTTAAATTAGCATAACGGATGTGTATAAATCCCACAAAACTCTCCATTTCTGGTTTCTTCGAACTTTTACGTTTTTATAACATTTGGTCTATGATGTAATGAACTGAAAATAAAAAAAAAAAGATAATATTAAAATTAAAAAATTAATCTAGTTCTTGCAAAATGTCATATTCTTTATTAGGTTGATTTGATTTGATTTTTGGTGTTTAACGCCACTTTTAAACACCGCTTTTGGGCTATTTCGTGGCGGCCAGTTTTTATAGGTGGAGGAAGCCGGAGTGCCCGGAGAAAACCACCGACCTTCGATAGGAAAACTGACAATCCTAGTCAATTAAGATTGGAGTCGAGTGCACCCGCACGAGCGGGGTTCGAACTCACAACCTCAGTGTTGACTGGCTAGTGATTACAGTAGTAACTACTTAGACTGCTCGGCCACCGAGGCCCCTTCTTTATTAGGAGACAAATATCTGGCAACTATAATCAGTACTTTTGACCTCTTTAAATATATATACAGTCAACAGCTCATTTATAACAACTATATTGATGCCACTACTGGTGACTTGCAAGTCCTTGAATGTGCCACTGCTGGTGACTTGCAAGTCCTTGAATGTGCCACATGCTCTGTAGTCAGTTCTTTTGTACTGGTATCATATTACTTTGAATTTAATGTTTAACAAACTTTGTGTCGACTTAAAAACAAAAAAAAAAACAAAAAAAAAGGCCCGGAATGACAAAAATGTAATACAATTCAAGGGTAAAATATTATAGCATAAACTCGTCATCGCTCTGCTCGGTGGTATATATGTCGTTTTCTGGTATTACGACCAACCGCCCCAATTCAGAAATCCTGGATTCGCCCCAGAAAGTAGTGCAAGAATAAACACGAAAAATACATTGATACATAAACTGTACTCTTTTAAGTCATTGTTTTTATATTTAACTTATATTGGAGATTAATTGCTTTCCGGATATTCAAATGTATGTATTGTATTATGCACGGTTTTATGCAATCTTCATGTTATTATGATTATTTATAATATGATTGTCATGTCTTTTTATGGTAAATATTTGATAACTAACTGACCTCAGATTAAAATGAATATATAATTTAAATACAATTTCCGTTGTTTTCCTTTTATAGTTGATGTGTTTCCCTCGGTTTTAGTTTGTTACCCGGAATTTTTTTTCTTAAATGAATTATGACTATTGAACAGCGGTATACTACTGTTGCTTTTATTCATTTTAATATCATTTGATAATTTTGCATGCATTATAACTTATTGGGTTAAACTAGATATCCACATACAGAACCTCATTTTATCAAATTACGTCATTCAACGATTTGGGTATCGTCTGTCAATATTCAGTGCATCAACAAAAATTGAGAAGTCCTCACATAAACTGGCAGGGCTTAATATGCATGTGAGCACTCAATCGCCTTTCTAACACTGGACATCACAACTATAGAACAAACTGTAAACTGTTATCTCCTAGTTTGTTTTAAGGCCATATCCTCTATTATTTTGTCATTTTTTCCATAATGAAATCGCTCTTTGGATGTAATAAATAATTGGCTTAGACATTTTGGAAAATAAGATTTTTTTTTATAATAACAACATTTAGAGTATTCATAACCAACGCTTAAACATGAATGAAAAGTGAAGCTTACCTAGTAATTTGGTTTGGTTTATCTGAGCATGACTGAGGAGTGCTATGTACATAAAATGCACGTCTGGTGTACTTAATCGTAAACCCGGTAACAGAGATGACTTTTAGTTATTGTTTTCTAACGTATTCCTATATTTTTATTTTGTCATAGAAATGCTTGCCGTCGTTAAGTGGCTACTAACGACCCAGTCTGTAATGTGTATTGTTTGATTTGTTCAGTTATTTACTTTAAATAATAGATTTAAAATTAAGTTAAATACACAAATTGAGTTTTCTTGTTAGAAGCAAAAACAAATAAATTAATGAAAATTATAAAATTGGATGACTTGAAACTGTAATAAATAATTAAATTCCACAATCATATACAAAATACTTGTAGTTAGTAAATGTTTTTAAAAAACATTCACAATTCTAAAACATTTATAAATGGTTAGAGATAAATTGTCGTGAATTTATTAAATATTGCCATGATTTAAAAATATATACTAGTAACCAAATTGATTTCAGTGTTATACCCATATATACTAGTGCGTTTGCCATTAATTGGTAAATTAAATGTTTTATATTCGGACACTCGAAGTTTTCAAACAGGAATATTTCCAAATGGAAGCTAGACCGAATTACAAATTATACATATATTACACAAAACAAATAAAGTGATGCAAGAATATATGAAATAATAAAATTAATTAAATTGTAAAATACCTGTCTTTTAACACGACACTGGAACTTTAAATCTATTCTAAATACTACTTACTAGGTGAGTGAAAACGTCCGTAAACAATCTAGGGTCAGAATAACAATTCACAGTAAACTCAGTGTTACGTTGTTCAAACAGGATTATTATGTAAAAGCTAAACGGAACTGAATATTAAGTTTAAAATAAAATGTTAATTTCCACTTTTTTTTAATAAAAAATATATGCAGGTTTCGACTAATCAATATGCAATTGTACACCACGTGCTAAGATTAATTTGTTGTCATTTTCCTGTGAAGTTTTTGTAATTAAGAGTTTTTAAAAAGTGAGTTGACACTGTAGGGGACATATTGATTAGACAAATTGTAACGTTTAATTTAATTAGGATTTTGATTTCAAATATTTTGGCCTCGAGCAATTCTAAATGTTACTGTAAACAAATTATAAGGGAACTTATGTAATATACTATTCAAAGCATTTTCGAATTTAAACATCAAATATACATTCAAACAAAGGGATTGAACAAATGGCAAATTCTTTCACATACCAAATGTATTGAAAAATCTAGTACTATTTGATATATTTCTTATTCATAGAGGCCCCCAAGGGTGACTGGGGAATAGAAGTATGGTCACCATTGGTCTTCCTCCGACCGGCAGTAAAACCCGTGCTAAAGTGGGGCGTCCGTTTGGCTGTGCGGGATGTACAAATTTGCAGCCACGTCCGGTCAGAATGGGGACGTTAAATCCGATGCCTCGTGTAAAGAAAGTGCCACGTTCTTTGCACGTTAAGAACCCTTGCAACAACTCTTTGAGGGGTCCGTAGGTGACCTGTTGCAAGGCTAAATTTCTGTCCCTATCCAATATACCCTCATTTCCCGTGGCAGTCTAAATTTCTCCGACCTTAATCCCTTAATCTATTACAGAACCTACCTATTGTATTTATTGTGAACTTGTTCTCGTCCTGAATATGCATGAAATATTTGCCACTGGACGTTAAGCAACCAACAATCAATCAATCAATCTTATTCATAGATCATTTAAGTACTTTTACATATCTGTCACTAATCTGTACAAATTTTATTATAAAATCGTCACAATTCATCGAGGACTAAAAAAAAACTGTTTGTATTACTGATTATATATTATGAAACGTTTTTTCTTCATAATCTTTACTTATTTAAAGTATATATGACACATATTTGTCAATGCCCATGCCAAGACTGTCAATTTTTGCAAAATGCGTATCCTCTAGTATGGTCAAGGAAATGTAAAGTAAGTCTTATTATATAAATCCTTGGTATGGTCAAGATTCTGTCATCAAACATATCTAAGTCTATAAGCATAGATGTCGCGTGTAAACAGCTGGTCGAAAACTAATTTGTGCTTCAAGAGGTTAAATTTTATCAACCCGCCTTCAACTGTTGAACTACAGTTCGCAAAAAATTTCAGTGCCTTTTAGAAAATGAGCGCTGCTTTGTCCGTACTATCGACATCTGAAATATGTGTCTTTCAAGAAGCTTTAAAAAAAATACGCGTAAATTAACGCATAATAATCGCATGGTTATTTCAAGAGAATCGTGCTTGGCAATTTTTCAACCAAACTTCACGCCATAACACACAATCTTTTGGCATAAAAAATAAATAACCTTTTTGTCATAAGTTATCTTCCAAAATGATATCATTATGCACAACTTGACAAATGCAGGTCAGTTCGAAGTCTAGCGGTCATTTTCGAAATTCTGTAGAGCTGTAAGATTTGTAAATTCGAGAACACAAAAATGACAGGAGGCAGTTCGATTTTGTAATATTTTCACATATATTATAGAAAATTTCAGTCGCTTCAACATTAAAATGTGATTTTATTAGATTTTATGGCAAATATTTATACTTAACATATCATATATCATTTTATTTTTTTTCAGCATTTTCCGTGTCTCCCTTATATGTTACTAAAGAGACATTGTTCGTGTGTTTTTTTCGGTACTATAATAATTTAGGGTAGTTCAAATTTGTGACCGACAAATGACCTATGGAAACAATTTTTTTTTTTTTATACCAAAATATGAATTTTTTAAGGTTTCAATTAAGCCTTAAAAGTTAAATGTCCAGGAAACGCCCAATTATTCATCAGTTTCTAATAAGTTGTCCGTGTCGCCCCAAAATGTTACCACGTCCAAATTGAACGTGTTTGCATGGAAAGTCAATGTAAATTGATATTATAATATATTTTTTCATTTCCATTGGCTTGGAGTTTCGTATGTGTATGTCCCATGAATATGATCATATTATATCCCACCTGTACAAATTTTATTGAAATCCATTCAGTAGTTTGTACTTTTTTCGTCAAGTAGTTTTGATATGAATGGTTGGATTTTGTTGTTAGTCTTACACGGCAAAAATACGGCTATAAACACGGAATCATCGCCTAATTATAAAATAAAACATAAGACTAAATTTATTAAGATTCGTCGTTATTTGAATTCGATTCAAATGGTGAATCAAGACAGTTAACTGTTTAATAATACGCAGAATTCATTTGTTTTAAAACTTTTAAAAATAGTTATGTACTAGTTATTTAACAAGCAAATCGTTATATGTCATTTAATCTGCACGGCTCGGGTTGACCCTACTTACGTCGTTCTGAAATACTGAACTTTTGTGATATTCAGGTTTTCTCCTAAATTGTTATATTATTTGGAGAATTTGGCAGATCTTTGATTGTTTCTGTTTGATTTA